TCTTCAGTCAACTTGACTACTGTAACAGTGTCCTTACAGGCTCCCTAAGAAATCCATCAGACAGCTGCAGCTGATTCAGAGTCCTCACTAAGACCAAAAAGGTGGATCACATCACTCCAGTTCTGAGGTCTTTACATTGGCTTCCTGTATGTCAAAGAATTGATTTCAAAATCCTGCTGTTAGTTTATAAAGCACTAAATGGTTTAGGGCCAAAATACATTTCCGATCTTCTGCTTCGTTACGAACCATCCAGACCTCTCAGGTCGTCTGGGGCAGGTTTGCTTTCTGTCCCCAGAGTCAAAACTAAACAAGGAGAAGCAGCGTTCAGTTATTATGCTCCCTATATTTGGAACAAACTCCCAGATAACTGCAGGTCTGCTGAAACAGTCAGTTCTTTAAAATTAAGACTGAAGACTTTTCTTTTTACCATTGCTTTTAATTAAATATTTAAGATTTTTCTTTTTATTTATAACTTACACTGCACTGTAACTTTTACTGTCCTGTTTTCTTTTACTGTTTTTAGCTTTTTATCATAGCTTTTTTCCATTTAACTCTTTTAACCCTGATTGTAACACTGTAACTTTTATTATAGTTTATGTTGCTTTTAAACTTTTTTATATTTCCCTGTTGCTTTTATGTTTTATGTAAAGCACTTTGAATTACCTTGTTGTTAAAATGTGCTATACAAATAAACTTGCCTTGCCTTGCCTTACATAATTTATTCCATGACCAACACCATCCATAAATTAACTATGCACAGAGAACGTACAAAGTACTAGGAGATAAGAGAACTGCTACCTACTGCTCTCCACCATCGTTTCTGAGGTTAAAACCTGAACTTCTCAATGAAAAGTTTTATTGTATACTAGAGTAGGGAGGATGTTGAATTTTCTTGACCCACCAGCGTCAGATAGCTGAGTTACTTCATCATCCATTTACACTACAGTTATGCAAATGAATGCTTTGGTACAACATGTATTTTGTACAACAGGACTCAACTTGTAAAGATGTTTTTAGTCAACAGTCAAGGATACAGTGTTCATGACATAACTGTCTAAAACATCAGCTATTTAAGGGATCTACCTCATTTTTAAAACAAGCCATATTTTCAGAGAAAATGTGCAGGTTTATCTATACATATGGAAGACCATTTCTGCAATGGAAGTAGACATCAGAAATGCAGTAGTATTTATCAAGTTGTTTAAAATGTTGTTATGTTTGCAATCATTTCTTTATATTTATTTTGTTTAGATTGGATTGTCATTTATTATCAGAACATGTTATATTTGAGTAAAAGGAATCCTTTAGCCATTATTTTGTTGTCTATAAGACGTAGGCCTATATATAATCATTCAATAGTCGTTGATGGCTAGAGTATACTTAGGCTATGGTTAGACGTCTACTAAACTTTCAATAAAAGCCCTAATTTAGCCTGTTTTAAGCTAGTCAGAGGATAGACCACAATTAGATGCATATTAGACACTGCCCTCTATAGCCCAGTTTGTAGCGACAGCACTTGTTACCTGACAGTTTTAATTTGAATAAAGAGCCATTATTTTGGTGTCTATTAGACATATAGCCTACTCTATGTAGTTGTTTAGCCATCTAATTGATGGTTAGACTACTAACTAGTCTACCAAACTTTCACTGACAGCCCAAATTTAGCTGTGTCTAGACGTCAGGTCTACATATAGATGGCAACTTTAAATGCAGATTTGCTTGTGAGGCCATGGCATTTGAGTTTATGGGGTATTTACAATGTCTCATCAGCTGGTCTGCCTGTTTACTACAGTCAGACACAGAGCATAGGCCCCTACCGAAATTATGGAAGCCCAAAGTCATGAAAATCCTGTAAATCATTATAATGAGAAACTTTCTCTAAATAATGACTTAGTATCTCAAAGTAATGACAAACTCTAAAAAACAATGATAGTACAAAGTCATTATTTTGAGATACAAACTGATTTTGAGAAAGAAAGAACGGTTCAGGCAGCAGTCCTTTGCGAATCCCATACTCGTCCTCTGATTGGCATTGCCTTTTCTTTCACACTGCAAATAGTAATAATAATTTATTTTAAATGCAGGACATTTTTGCGAGCTATGAATTTAATGCCATATCTTGAATAGAATAAACACAGTGTTTGAAACAGCAGAAAGCCATGACTGAACATAACAATAACACAAGGATCAATGGGTGTACTGCCATTGATTGATCTGACCTGGCTATTGATATTTATTCAGATTAAACAAGTAAACAACATGAACCATTTAAACAACACAAAACAGTCAGCCTATAATGTAAGAGTTAAAAATAAATATGCATTAAATTCCATGAAACCCTGAAACCCCTTCAACTATATTAGAAATAAAAACACATTAAAAACCTTTCTTGTATAAATACAGTGGTGGTTACAATAGAAACATGAACCAACCACGAGAAGGATGCACTTTTTTTCTCACCATCCACAGCTAGGTTCCTACCTAGACTGTGAAAAACTGGACTTCTGCATTTCGAAGAAGTTATTACAGCAAACAATTTAGGGCAAATATTCCGAATACAGCCGAACAGCAAAAACATCCTGTTCTGCAAAACGTCATGCTAAGCTAATCAGAAGCAGAGCAGGGCGGGCCAGATCCGGAGCAGAGCGGTATGAACCAGCTTCGTCAAGTAGTCAGCGGAAGTCAGAACACAACGCGAAACATGGAAACAGTACATTCAAAATAAAAGCGCTAAATGCCTGTAAAGGTCGAATGTAGATGAAAGGTTTGAGTTTATATCTGAAGTATTGTATCTGAGATACATCAAGGATATTAAAGATACTTCCCAGTGTAATTTAACCTACCTAAGAATTTTTGTATTTACTAGCATAAAAACTGTGAGAAACATTCACAGAAACAGTAGTTATGGCCCTGTTAAAATGTTTAAAATCCACCGTAGTGGAGAAAGTCTATAAATTGTGAGCTATGGATATGGGGCTCGATCGGGGCTGAACTGTCCACTGTCAAATTTATAACTGATAAGTGGGGGCATATTTTTCTCATGTAAAGCAAGCAACCTATTTTAGCAGAACAAATGTGCCTAACAGTGTGTGCCAACCTCTTTTGTGTGTAGTGTGTAGCTATTTGACATTTAACGTATATGTCTCAAATTAAAATATGGCAATTTATATGATCAATCCAGAATTCCCGTGCCGTGTTCTTGTCAGCTTTTACACAGGAGCAATAGAAAGCATCCTGACTGGAAACATCACAAACTGGCATGGGATGTGCACAGCCACGACGAAATTCATCCTCAGCACTATAGTTTATTTCTGTTTACCATGTTTAAAATCGCTGCTGTATTAGTGTACATTATCTGCTACATAGCAGAAGGGAGTTACAAACACAATTTTACTCTATAACTTGTTATATTGTGACAAAACAAATCTTCCTACCTACCTACCTAGATACTGTAATTGCCTCATTGCTCAATCCAAATGATTCCTTGATTTATTTCATTTACTGCCACGTTTGTCAATACTTTCTTTTACTTTGGAAGTATATACCGGAAGCCTTCCTTTTCATTTTGGGGAACTGGACACTAACGTTTGTTGTTTGTTAGCTAAACCTCCAAGTAGCTCAGCTTGGTTTAAGATCAGGTCATACGGCGATGTTAGATATTCTTAAAAGGATTACATAGCTAGGGATATTTGGCAGTTTTGTAAGTACTGAGTTACATCCGGGGTTGTTTTTCAGTAAAGGTCAATCTTAACGCTACCGTGATATCGATTCACTGTTTGACAAAGAGTAACGTTAACGATAATGAAAACATGAAAAAGGGTCAAACTGTAGCTTCTTTAAGCGATTATTGGCACATCCACTAGTTCTTCAGACTTGATCAAACTGGTCCGATTTGTTTTCGCTGACTGATGTCTCTCTGCGGGACAGGCGACCGTGGTTCACTGTGAACTCTTCATCTTTGAGGCTGCAAAGAGCCGACTCAGCCTCAAAAATCAAGAAGGTAACGTTAACGTTGACATATGATACGTCGGCTTCAGTTCTTTTGAACGTGCTTTGCACCAGTGTTGCTGTTTACAGGACGTAAGCTAGCTAACGTTAGAATTTAGACGTGAAAGGTATGTTAGCAACCAGAATTAAGTTACCTAACCTTAAGTGACGCCAGTAGTCAAACTTCGCACAGGACGATACTGTGCTTCTGTACATTGTTCAAACTGTGTTACTGTCATTAAGGACTGTTTACTAAAACCTCTTGATGTTTTTCAGCTTGTTTCTGTCGCCAGTCTTTCTCGGTGAAAAATGTCAGCTATGGAGACCACTCAGGTGACTTTGGCTGTCAGAGGAGAAACATCCCCAGGTATGTCTGTGTTACACTTGACCGTAGACACAAGTTGCCAGCCACAGTCGACATGTTCTTTAACCCACACATTATACCATTACCTCCAAAATATTATACTGTGTATCCCCAAATATCGACAAATTATCAAAGCTGTTATGTGTATATGTACATATTTCCACACAGAGTTGAGTCTGTTAGGGTTGTGGAAATTCGGTATTTTCCAAGTTATTAGACACAGGACAATATATCTGAGATGATTTGAGGCCCATGTCAGCATTTCCATTTATAAGTAGGCATCTCAAATATGTTTACATCAAAATATTGTAGGTAAAACTGAAAAGGTTATTATAAATGTTAGTCATATTTGTTTTTAAAAGTTTTGATGAAGGTAACAGGCCAGTTGTGGACATTTCTAGGGCAAGTGATTGCAGTTGTTGGTAACTGTGAAGCCCTGGGGAGCTGGAACCATCAAAGAGCTGTGTCCTTACACCCTCATGGGAGTGATGGGTAGGTAAAACGTTGTGTGTAATTTCTTGCTCAATAAAAACATGCTGTTAAAATATGTCAGTATGTATGACTCCACCATTGTACACAAAGGTGGTCTGTTTTTCTTACTATTTTATCCTGCTAAAAAAAATTAATGTGGATGTTGGCTTCCTGACAGAAATACATGGACCACAACAATCACTGTACCAAAAGGAGTTGTTTCCAACTACCGCTATTTCAAAGGCTTTATTCTGGATTCAAAGGTGAGTGGAGTCTCCTCTCTGTGTAGTGGTTTACTAGGGCTGAACGATATGCAAAAAACCCAAAACACATAGCTTTTATTTTGACATATACTGCAATATGAGTCAAAAGTTTAGCGGGAATGATACAATTTGAATTTCATTTTCACTGGAAAAATGTTTTGAAAACCTCCTTTGTTTTTCAGCTTGGCGACAGGAAGGGGAGAGACAGGTGCTATTAGTGTGTTTGTTCTGCAGATTTTGAAAGAGTGTTAGAAAGAACTAGAATTACTTCAGTTGAAGCTAGGACATGTCACAAGATTTGTGTATCACTTTACCTACATAGGTGTTAATTTCCTTAGAAATAGCCAGTTAGTCAGTGTTGTGGAATAGCCAGCTCTGGGCAGACTGCCAGCGGACTTGCTCTACTGTTTGTGAGCCTCTTCTGAGGCCCTCTATGTATATACTCTAGATGTACACAAACATACCACGGGTCAAATTTCCCTGGAAAAGAATGGGACAGAAAATGTGTCAGACAATTCCCTGAAAAACATTATCGTGTCTAGCTCTCTCTTAGTATTCTCTCATAGTACCGGTGTATTATTGTTTTTGGATGTCAAGGGTGGGGCTCACATTGTGTGAGACTAAAGCCCATCCTGACTTGATTGTGAGACGCCTGACTTTGTAAATTCCTCAAAGGACTTTGAGCTGAAATTACAAGATTACAGAAGTTAACATTTCACATTTATTCAGGCCGTCTGAGTCATGCTTGAAATTTAATAAACTAAAGTTATTCTCATGCCTGTAGCAGCAATATAAACATAAAAGTTCTTAAACTCATGGGCCATGTTTTTCATAATTGTGGACTGTATTCAACTCTGTAATGATAGTAAATTTACAGAGGTCAAAATGTGATGCTACAAACATATTATTGCTATAATTAATGATGGCTTTATTACAGATGAAGACAGCAGCTTAAAGTGTAACTGAAGAAAGTTTTTTTTTTTTTTTTTTCTTCACTAACAAATCCACTTTTCAGATTTCAACCCATGGTCGCTGACTGCCCTAGCTGGGGATCGGTGACTATACCAACTCTTATACCTTTCTCGCAGTCTGGTCCAAAGACAGCTCTGAGGCCAGACAGAAAAGTAGCCAAATGTATCTGATTTGAAAACCCTAACACTTTACCAAACATTGGAATTGCAGAGTGCAGGTGGTCCCTGTCAAGTGATAGTCAATATGTGGGAGACCCATCATCAGCCCCGCACGATGAGCCCCACAGGTATAGAACAACAAAAAACTTTGCACCGTGTAGTTGGGTTTGGTAACATGTGTCATACTCAAACCCCCAACACACCTCCCGTTCCCTGCCCTAGCACTATATGCAACAATTGCCCATCAATACTAAGGTCAGTTCTTAAGTATCCCACTGAAGAAAAGGGTTAGTATTTCAGGGATAGTCAAATCTGACCTTTGGTTGGACGACGCGCATGTCAAAATGAACACATTACCGCCTGACTGCAATGTGTTCTCCTCCAACACCCAACAATTTACTGGTAGCCTCTGGAGGATCTTGCCAAATAAGGCAGTGTGTGTATGCTTGGGCAAAGATCAGGGACAACACTTGCTGGAATAATATATAGCCATAGAGGAAACACTGCAGTACAGTAGATGTCATGATCACATATTGTAGATCCCTCTAGTGCACATGCCATTGTGTTGGCAGACAAAAAACAATCACAATGAGCTTGGTAGGAAAAATAGTTGCAACCATGTCTGCACCCTGCTTGATGTCCTTTTTAACCTCAGCCTGGCACCCCATCCTTGTTGTTTGTTTTTTTTATTCTTTATTTGAGCAAATCCTACTGAAACACATTTCCTACTAGAATAGTTAATTGTTCCAAATATGAGGTTTACTTTTATATTCAAGTGTCCTGTTTTGAGTTCTGAGTTTCAAAAACATCCTGCTAAATTAACCTCAACGACATGCTCTTTCTCTTAAATTGTAGTTTAAGATTTTTTTGGAATCAAATGTATTTTATTGCTCAGGCGTCTCTCTTGAAGTTGCGGCAAGTCAAAGTCAGAGCAAACCAATGAAGTCTTGAATTTGGCATCTTGTTTTTAATTCAAACTATGATTTGGGGATTTTCCTCTTTGTACACAGAGAATTCACTGGTTTGACCTGTCCTCCTTTGTACTGTTGAGATTTTTGTATCCTGTTTCTAATGCGCTTTTCCTTTATTGTAGCATCACACCAGAATATCGATGATGGACAATTTGGATTTCACAGTAAGCTGGGGGGGGGGGGGGGCAAATATACTAAGCTAACTGCACAACCAGAACTACTAACTAAAGTGTTCTAGAGTAGCTGAGACAGAAAATGCTTATTGATTTGCAGCAGAGGCTTTGAGATCATTCATTATAGCAGAACAAACAGTTGTCTCCTCCCTGCTGTTATCGCTGCCAGTAGTTCTCTGGTCTGCAGTAATGGGAGACAAAGTGGATATACATTGTCATGAAGTGCTTTCTGTCGGTGTCCTCCCTTTTTACAGATGGGGAGTTTTGTGTTGACTCTGGGTTTCTGACGTGCCAGACAGAGATTCGCCTGCGTCTGCACCAATCTAGGGTGTCGCCAGTGTCCATGACAAAGAAGAAATTTAAGAAGTCACGCTTCAGGTAGGGGTGACCCCAAGGTCGAATTTCACACCACCCAGAGAAAGTCTTCGTCGTGAGATGGCTCAGTGTATCATTACAGTGCTACTATTGAATAAGTGTAACAGAAATCAAGGTACAAGGTTGTTCACTAGTCATTATACAGCACAAGGCTGCATAACGAAACGAAATTTGTTGTTCCTTCATGCTACACACACAAAATATAATTAAGCGTAGGCCTATATTAACATACGGTAACATAAAATAAAACATTATATACAGTTATTTATATACATATATCCATACACGTAGATGCCCCAAACATTTCACAGTGCATTTTTTGAATTTGCCTCTGGGGTGAATGTAACTAGCAGCAACCAGATGATAGTATGAAAGTGTCATCTTCACAATAAACAGTCTGAGATTCAGGTACCAGAGTCATCTTAACTGAATTTGAGCACCAAACATCACTGATTTTAAAACGCTTCCTCTCGTCTTGCCGGAGTCTTGCGCTGGCAGCTCTGAACATGGACCACCTGCCGAATGCTTGATCCGGGATGTTGATGGGGCAGGTCTCTGTAACGATGTGGGCACAACAGTTTCTGAATTCTGTTCCTTGGTTCACATGAGTCCCATTTTGTCCAGACCGGATGTATTTATGTTTGTGGTAAAGCATGTTTTGGCAATAAAACGGATAAAAAAAACATTAGTGTAGCGAAGTTTGAAGGAGTTACTGGCTGCTGCTTCTACAAGCGCTGCCGGTTGCCATAGCTAGAGAGAAGAGTCAAACATACAGATGTAACCTATTTTCTTTATGTTTTGCATGATGCATTCTTTTTTTAATATTGAATATATGTGGATTTCCGTATCACCATATTGTGAATTCAATTGATTATTTTGCCTACCTATACAGAATCAAGCTGACATTAGAGGGTGTTGAGGAGGAGGAAGACGAGGAGGACGGGCACAGTCCTTCACCTTGGCACAAGATGGCCACCACTCTGGAGACCAGTATGATCAGTGCCAATGGCTATAAGTCACGCCACTCGCAGCCTGAATGTGGGTATGCATTGGAGCCCTCCCAGTGGATGGAGTACATTATCCACACCATGGACCCAGATAACCTAGAGCTAACGTTTGAGTTCTTTGAGGTAATACTCATGGGAATACTACCTCTGATAAACCCATTTCTTGATAAGCATTACCATAAATATTCTTGACTAACAAGTGCACATGGAAAAAAAGTAAGGAATGAGGCATCATGATTAAATATCTATTTTAACTTTTACAGGAGGATCTGAGTGAGCATGTAGTCCATGGGGATACTTATGATGGGCAGGTGGGCACAGCTTGCCTCCTCTCCTCTTCTTTTTTGGAGATCGGTAAGGACAACGGAGTAGCCACACTTCCAATAATGGGTCGAAATTCCAGACAGACCATCGGGAAGGTCAGAGGTAAGATTTTGGTTTTTTAAAGTCTTTCTTTGCTCATCAGTTCACACAATGTACACAGCACCTACTTTGCTACTCTTCTCTAGTGGATTACCTGGTGATCCGGCCCATTCAGGGGATGCAGTGTGACATGAGCTCCTCATTCAGCAAGTACTGGAAGAAAAGAGGTGCTCTGGACGTGGGTCACAGAGGAGCAGGCAGCACACACGCAGCCAAGTGAGTCATAATACCTTTGACTTGCATAGGACAGAGTGCCTTGCATAGAACGCAGACTGAAAAGAAATAGCACAACAGTGTGTGTCAGTAGGGGTAAATACTTCTGTACATCCCGCATCTGTTCCTTGTCAACAAAGTCTTTTTTTTTAACTTGTGTTTTTACAGGCACCACAGAGTCAGGGAAAATACAATAGCCTCATTTAAAAGCGCTGCTCAGCATGTGAGTTACGCAGATGATTAAAGCACAAGTAAATGTTTACCTTTAACATTACGTCTGCCTTAATTATGTGCATTTGTGTACTTGTAGGGTGCAGCCTATGTAGAGTTTGATGTTCACCTCTCCAAGGATGCTGTTCCCATTGTATACCACGATCTGACGTGCTGCATCTCAACCAAAAAGGTAAAATAAAGGCCTGTTGTACTTGATGATGGACATGTGAAGTGTTACAATCTGGTATATTATACTTCTTCTTTGTTGGTATTTTTATTTTCCATTAACTACTCATGACTTGACAAACACACTTAGAAAAATGGTAAGCATACAAAAATGTGTCTCTACTCAAAACCAATTCATGTAATTCTTTCTATCCCCTCGACAGAAAAATGACCAGACTTCTCTGGAACTCATTGAGGTGCCAGTCAAAGACTTGACATTTGATCAGCTGCAGCTTCTGAAGGTACAAACCTGGAATGTTGGACAAACGATGCAAATAAACAAAACTTCATTAACCTTTTAGATGAAAGTGGACAATTGTTAATACATAGTTGTTCCAACAAAGTACAAATGGGCAGACTGCAAACAGTTTAGAGAATGTTTTCATGACAAAAAAGATACACTTGTAACTCGACTGCCAATTTATTATGAAAATCTGGAGCAGACACAAACTACTAAAATCACCCCACTTCAGCCTACCCCACCCCTTTGCTGAAAACATAACCTGGGGATACAGAATAAATAATTTCAGGATTTTACATAATGTGTGCTTTGTTTTGTTGCACAGCTTGCCCATGCCACTGCATTAAAAGGCCACGATGTCAAAGGTATGCACCTATTGTTTGTGTTTTTTCTCTCTGTATTTCATCACGGCCTTCTTGCTGGGGAAAAAATTTAAGCTACGTGACATGTTGGAAAGCCATGTGCTTTCAAGCTTGTTTTGTTGCATACAGTATGCTGTCATACAAACAAGACCGTCATGAATTCCATTTTGATCAAAGACCGCTTGGTATGCTCCAGCTTGCATCACAACAGAGTGATGAAGGAGCGCTGAATGTGTAAATAGCAGATAATTTGGATGAAGTACATTAACACTGATGTTTTGTTTGTTCAGATCTGCTGGATGATGAAGAGGAAATCGATGAGCATCAGCCGTTCCCCTCACTCTCACAGGTAATTGACTTTATGATGATCATGATTTATTAAAAAGCAGTAGCTGTTCCCCTTGCATCACAAATATATTAACTATACTTTGTCCACAGATCTTCCAAGCTATTCCTGAGCATGTGGGCTTCAACATTGAGCTCAAATGGATCTGCCAGATGAAGGTGGGTATACTTAGTACGATCAATGGCATATTTTGATTGTAGAATTCCGTGTAGATAAAAATGTAAAAAACAATCTCATAATAAACTCAATCAATGCTTTTTATTGACAGGACGGGTCATGGGACGGCAACCTATCATCCTACTTCAACATGAATACCTTCCTCGATGTCATCCTGTCCTGTGTTCTGCAGAAAGGCGGGAAAAGACGCATTGTCTTCTCCTGCTTCGACCCGGACGTCTGCAGCATGTAAGCACAGTTGGATTGAGGATGAAGTATGCCCAGACTTGATTAGCCTGTAGAAACTGCATAGTATCCAGAAACATAATAGCTTCTGAGTTATTGTTATTTCGAAAGCATCAGTCATATGGAAATGTTTAAAGATTCTTATTCTCTTCAGTGTTCAAGAAAAAAAGAAAAGCAGGTGCTCTCCAGCTGCTGCTGACATCTTTTCATGTGTTTTCCTCAGGGTGCGTCAAAAGCAGAACAAGTACCCCATCCTCTTTCTGACTCAGGGAATTTCTGAGCGGTATCCTGAGATGATGGACATCCGCTGCCAAACCACTCAGATCGCCATAAGTTTCGCCCAGAGTGAGAATATTCTGGTGAGCAGTTGTGTCAGAAAGTAAAAATGATGTGTTGATGGAATTTCCCAGACTTTTTAAAACTTCAAAAACATGCAACGGTTCTTAAAATGCCACACATAGCTCGTGTCAATGTCATTTATATTCATAAGCACTACTCTATAAGTAGTAGACAATAATGTGTCAGTGTCCATTGCAATGGGAAAGTGCAGATCTTCACCCTTACCAGCTAAAGCAAAAATGTCATCAGTTCACTGCTAGTTTTAGTGCTACAAGTGCACAAATGTAGACACTGTTACGAAAATGCTGTTTCAAAAATAATTCTTAATTCTAAAAGTAGCAGGATTTGTATTTTGAAAGGATATTTAGCCGATATTAGAATATTCTGCACCCTCTCTTAACAAGCTGCAGTGTCCTTGAGCAAATGGCTTCCTGACATAGCCCACCACTCTCACGACATTCAAAACGACATAACTGACATGTCAGCTAGCATAGCACTGTGTCAGCTGTCTCTAAGACATCCTAAGGGGTTTTAGCAATTGCAAAAATTGCCACTTGTTATGTTGAAAGACCTTACGGAGATAAATTAGCCTATGTGTTACGAAAACACAAACTTTACCTGTGTTGAAACCAACATGAGAGTGAGTAGGTAAGACGCTGAGATGAACTTAACAAGACCACTTTTTTCTTACTGGACCTCCTTCTTTAGGGGATCAGTGCCCACACTGAAGAGCTGCTGAAGAACCTTAACTACATCAGGGATGCCAAGGCTAAAGGCCTGGTGGTGTTCAGCTGGGGAGAGGACAACAACGACCATGAGACGAGAAGGATGCTGAGAGAGCAGGGAATTGATGGGCTCATCTACGATAGGTAGGCTAAAATGCACCATGCCTATCTGTGGATTCTTAAGACCTCAGCTCTTGTAGTGTAGGCCACAAACACCAACCCTCTCTGTAAGTGTTAATGTTCAGAATTTAGTGTGTGTGGCCATGTAGTCAGGCTACTCCAGTCTTCTTCTACGTCATCGTCTATTCAGACATTCATTAGCACTCTTTCTTGCTGTTTCAGTTATGATAAACATTCTCATAATTGTGTTTCTAGCTATAATCTGCACCACAAACTGTAGAGTACACCCTGTGCTGTCGTGTTCAGCCACACCCGAGTTATTAAGCATTCATATCAGTTCCATAAATGTGATTACGGCTGCTCCTTGTCATAGAACTGAATTATTACGTGACCTTTATTTTTTAATCAGTTACAGGGTTCAAGGTTATATAATATTCACTGGCAGACATGGTAATCACTTGGCAGCTGCTGTAGCTGTTGATTGATTTGATTATTCATTGAACATTTTTCTGTGCGAGTGTGAAATTGGTGCACAAGATGTGCCAGTGCTGTTATATAAAGCACATAAAGCTTTGTTGGTTAGCAGAATGAAAGAAAGTATCCTCTGTTGTTAGCAGAGCTGCGTGGTCAGCTCGGCCTGTTTATTCAGCCGTTTCAGTTCTGGGTTTTACAAAACAATGACATGTGCTCTACATTTATGTCTGCTCTTTGGCCCAGACTTTTCCAGACCCCCGCAGAAAGCAGACCATAGGCATTGAACCTTTATATTACAACCCAGCAGTCTCTGCAGATTCCAGATGTGACTTCTTTTAACATCTCAAATCAAAAACATGAACATGTCCAGGTTGCTGTTATAACCGTTTCTCTTTGTTACAGAATTTGTGAATGCTTGGTGCCATATTTTGACTCAAGTTCTCCAGATTCCCGTAATGTCTCTCTGGTTCCTGGCTGTGTCTTGTTAATTTACTCACTCTACATACCATGGCTGGTTTTTGGTTTCCCACCTCAAATACTGCCTGACAGCCCGTGTCTTACTCATCAAAATGCAGCAGGAACAAAAATTTGTTTCCTGATAATGATGCAAGATGGTTGACTTCTCATATGCCGTACAGCTTAATAGTATAGTACTTGAGTGACAATGATTGTTTTATCTTTCTGAATTTTCTTACATTTTGGATTGTACTAAACACTGTTGTTTGATTAGTCAGCTGCCATGTTTTTCATTTTTGAGGCTAGTTCTCCTGTTTTTTTTAAACGCCTGTTTTCTTGGTATGCTTTGCAAAGGCCTCCTTATCTTGCGCTTTGTATGCTATTTGTGTGACATTCCACTTAATTTATGAAGCAAAAGAGGCACCAAGAGTGAATGGCTTCTTTAGTGCACGAAGGGATGGACTGTTAAGGGTAGATTTGACCTGGGTGCATGAACTGAATGCGCTTTGGTGGAGGTTGTAAAAGAGAGGTACTCAAATATATAAACTGATAAGCCACTTATACTCTATTTGCACTTATGCCCTGAATGTACAGATGGCATCCACAATATTTTAACACATTAAAACTATTAGAAAAGGTTCCTTACTGCCAAAATGGCGACCAGTACAATCATCCCCCTATCCTAAATGAATGCATTAGTCATTGCTGGTTCCATTAACATGGGTGCATGAAAAGAGTGTAGAGCCAGAGCATTAGCCCTTTGCTAGTTGGTTTAGAGCAGAAACTGGAGTGGTCTTTATATTTTTTTGCATCGTGCCTTATGATTGTTTCACAGTTGGTGACTGAACCCTTTAGCCATAATTTAAGAATGAACTGGGCAATTCACGATTTCACACACATGTCGACTGAGACAACACAGTGAGTGAACAATATATAGCACGCTACGAGCTTTCCTCCATCTCGTCTATTCTGCCTTTCACTTGCTGCATTATTCTGAATTCCGAGCGTCCTCAGAATCGTCTGATTTCAAATGACATATTGGAGCGTGCATAGCTATTTGTGATTCTGTTAGTGAGTGACTGACTGAGTTTGATCCACAGCTCAATGAGAAGCAAGCACCACATTTTGTGTAGATATACTCTATTGGAATCCATCTTTAGATAATTATTAAATACAGGTAAACTGCAACTTGACTGGTTGGCGGAGGCATACAACAGCAAGGTGGTATTTCTAGTTTAATGTTTGTGAGCAAAATGTTTTTGGATCAGGAAATCTGTCACTTTGGTTTTTGAATGCCGAATAGAAATGTAGGCGACAACAGTATAAACTGTCAGTAATCTAACTGAAGGATGTCTCTTCCCTTTTGCTTTAGTATCTGTGAGGCCCAAGGGGAGGAGCCAAACATCTTCCAGGTAGAGGAGCAACACTCCCTGCAGGAGGTTATCACAGAGGAGACCCTAAACAGCCCCAGCTGTTCCTGCTACTCCATTCAGTGCTCCATGGCTCCCTGCGAGGCCCGGACAGGCAACGCTGAGTATGACTCTGGCCTCGGCTCTTCATAAACGTCTACCTCGCTGCACATACAAACTTAAGAGGACACTGGTGGGAATGAATGAATAAACAAAAACATGTAGTCACTCAAAAGTTACAGCTTACAGTAGGTTTTCCCCCTTCATACATGATCAAGTGTAAAACCACTTAAACCGTCTCTACTCCAGCATACTTGATTACAGATGTTTTTCCTTTTGTATGATTCTTTACAAACGTTTTGTTGAAATGTTTTGCCAAACATTAAAGCAGCCATGTACATGAACAGGGATCAGAGCGGGTCTTCATAATAGTGGAACAATATAAAAATTGGGAGATGCTTCACATGGGATATTTAGCCAATATGTTGCATCTCTTCATAGTCTTAAGTGCGAAGCTTTTAATGTATATATTTCACAAGTGTAACATCACTGCAAATTGTATGTCATAAACTTTATGATGATGCATGTATCCATTACCGTAACGGTTATTTTCATTGTCTGAAATTGCAATGAGTAATAGCTACAGAATTTCAGGTAAGAGGGTGAAATTGATGAATGTTTTATTTGCGACAGTGCACATACATACCACTGTCTTAAGCAGGAAATAATAATTGTTTGTATCTTGCCTTTTGTTTTAAAATCGCCAATACCTCACTCATGTATTAGAGTACACAAGAGTTGAAATGTCTGTAAAGAATGATTAAATTCCTATACTGCCTTCCTACAAATCCTATTTAACGCCACAACACCCATGCTTTTTATTGCATGGCAGATTATTTTTTGGCAATTGCACTTGAAGCAATTAATCATTTGAATATTAAAGTGTGCATTAGTATAATTCAGTGAAAATGCTGCATTTTGAACACAGCAAAACAAATCAGTTATAGTGTACTGTCTGTATATCTGTCTCACTGCACATGTCATCTCTTGACGTCAAACTCTTACGAGTGAGCCATGCATGGTCTGTATATTTGTATGAATGAGTCTAAGGTGTAAATTTATCTGCCATTACAGGACAGAAGAGTGTAAATAAAATCCAAATCTATATTTGTTTATTTTGTCATTTTTCTCTTTCACATCACTTGAGGTTTGGTTGTTATTTCTTGTATGTTGTGATTGTTTTGAATAACTAGGAGGTTGTAGATCCCGTGAGCTGACATTTATTTTGCTCTTTTACTTAATGGTGTTACAGGAAGTTATAACAACTTCCTGTTTAATGGTGAATAATCGATATTCAATGCCACGCCACAACGAAAACTCACAAATAGCACAACTTTTCATTGTCAGTGCCTTAAGATTGCACCACAGCAAACATCTGAAGACGATCCGATAAATTCCCGTAGGAGCTCATTGAAATACAGACTTTGTAAAAGGCGAAAAATGGGCTGAAAATTTACATTTAAATCAAAATGGTTGATTTCCTGTTGGGTGTAGGCAGATACGTTTTATAGAGCCTAGAAGGACTTTGGCGTAGGTAATGGCTCCAAAAGGCTTTTTTTATGTGTCTTGAAAGTTTCATTCATCTCAGTGAAACAGGTTGTTGGGGTTGCTTTGTTAAAGGGTCCCTTCCTTTTACCAGTAGGTGGCGCTATGAGTATCAGTGAAAATTGGCCTGTAGATTGCCAAAAATGACCATTAATGCAAAATGACAGACCTACAGTTGGGTTTAGGGCATTCAATTCAATTCAATTCAATTTTATTTATATAGCGCCAAATCACAACAACAGTTATCTCACAGCGCTTTTCATAAAAGAGCAGGTCTAGACCGTACTCTATGATGTTATTTACAGAAGCCCAACAGTTCCCACCAAGAGCAAGCACTAGGCGACAGAGGCAAGGAAAAACTTCCTTTTAAGAGGCAGAAACCTCGAGCAGAACCATGGCTCAGGGTGGGCGGCCATCTGCCTCGACCGGTTGGGGTGAGAGAGAGAGAGAGAGAGAGAGAGATGTAAGGAGAGAGAGAGGGGAGGGAGGCAGCCTACACAATATACACACAGAGGTACACACAGTGAAGGTAATGTTGCTATAGACTAAATGAAAAATGGTACAGATATTTATAATAGTGTTAATGGTAACCATCGTAATGTTAATGATTATAATAACAATAATAACAATAAGACTAGCAACAATAGTCATTGCAGCAGAGGGTGTCGAGCAGGAACACGGGGGCAGCAGGTGACCCGCAGCCACAGATCCAGACTCCACAGCTCCAGAGCCAGAAAACCTGCAGGAAGTGATAGGAGAGAGGAGAGAGACGAGAAAGCACAAGACTACCAGAAAGGGGAGAAGTTGTGTTAGTAACATGCAATAATGGGATAAGGTTGCATACAGAGGGAGAGAAAGTAGAGGAGAGAGGAGCTCAGTGCATCATGGGAAATCCCCCGGCAGCTTTTTGCTCCAAGAGGAAAAAGCTGGCCATTTTGCCATGCCCACACGAAAACAAATGACAGATAAATTTTTACAGGACTTGAATTTTGAGTTTTTGAGCTTGTTTAGCCTGACAAAATGTGCTTCATTTACAGAAAGAAAGAAGAAGAAAAATAATTCCTTCAGTTTCAATAGGGTCCCTGAATGTTTCATGCCTGGGCCCTAATAATTATACACAAAACTAAGCTTTAGGCACCAGTTAGCTCACTGCTAGATCGTGCGTCCCATGTACAAAGGCTTGCCGTAGCGGCCCAGGTTTGAGTCCGACCTGCCGCCATTTGCTACATGTCATCCCCCACATCCTACACACATTTCCTGTCTACCTGAACTGTTCTTAAATAGGCTTTAAAAGACCCCAAAATGCTTATATATTATTTAGTCACAGTCACAGTGCCACCTACTGGCAACAGGAAGTAAGCCCTGTGTGATAACAAAGTCCTCTAAATTGTCTCCAGTTATAATCATCATTTGACTTACAAGAAATATTAAAGTGTGGTCTACACTTCAGCACCATAGACTATATAAAAAGTACTAGGACATAACCTGTATTTAGCAGATGCTCTCTAGTGCCACAGAGGGGACACAGGAAGTGACGTTTAAATCTTTTGTGAGACGTCCAAAGCACATGATATTTTAGAGCCGCGTCAGCGACATTTAAATTGGCTTCTTTTCTGCTTAATATCATGAAATAAGGTAAATATTGTGTGGTCTGGAAACTCCTCATAGGCATCATCAAAACACTGCAGTTTAGCTGATTAACAAGATTAACACATGCACAGTCAGTAGCAGTAGGCACCACTGGGAATGAGAATATTTCTTTCTTACCTTGGTGGTGACTCTCTTTGGCAGTAGTTATCAGCATGAACCTTGAAACTGACTCATCACTGATCAATCTTTTCAGTTACAACACCCTGGACAATTAGGATAAAAAAAAAAAGCACACATCATTTGGCAAGTGCCAGGTTGAAGAAGATACAAATGGACAAGTAAGGAGAACCAGGCAGCATACATCTTTCTACAACTGATCCTGCAAAATTATAGATCATGAACTTCAACAGGACATGTCTTTGGTTAAGGGTACAGCTTTATCTTCCCATTTGACCATGTCTTGTTTAAGTTACATATTATGCATAATTCATATGATTGTATATCTTTACATATTACAGCAGGAAAGGCCCAAGTGAAATTAAGAATGTGAATTATGCCTTCTTTCCAAATAAGTATGCTAGTGGCTGTGGCAGTGCTGACTCACAGACATGGCTACTACATTCATACGTTTACACTACATGACATTTATTCATTTAGCTAACGCTTTTATCCAATTGTAAGTCTCGCTTTTAGCAAGACTTACAATTGCTATATATGTCAGAGGTCGCACGCCTCTGGAGCAACTAGGGGTCTTGCTCAGGGATGCAATGGTGAATGTGTCACAGTGTGGAGTTGAACCCGGATCTCCCACACCACACTGCCCCATCACCACCACCCATTTCTTTTTTTTTTTCTTCCAGCAAACTGTACTAATATTGTGTAATTATTACTGATGCACTAACATATTAGTTCATTATAATGTAGCATGTTGAGGTGGAGTTCATTTTACCAACTTACTGTTGAGAATTTTGCATCATATATCTTAAATTTAAATGACACATTTAAAAAATGAATTGTCTGTACATAAAACTGTATAACTAATGTTATTGAGTGGAAAAAAGTACAATGTTTTTCTCTAAAATATAAAGGAGAAAATGGTAATACATAGTAGTACAAGTACCTCAACATGTAGGCAACTTAACTGGTGCCATTATTCATCTTAATCTCATTCATTTTTATCCCATGTAGTAGCAAATAACAGCCAGAGGCCTGAGGTTCTTTTCAATGTCATAAACTCTCTTGTTAACCCTCGCAAATCAGACTGTGTTGTGCCATCTACAATTTTATGTGAAAACTTCCTGAAATATTTTATAGACATAATTGCAGTTTGAGCCAGTTACATTCCCCCTTCTTTCTGACATATTCAAGCAACTACGTCCTGCAAACTGCCCCCTTGACAGTATTCCTGCACGCTTTTTGAAAGATGTTTTTAGCACTGTTGGATCAAGCATTGTCGCCTTGGTTAATACATCTCTCAGCTCAGGGTGTGTTCCAGCTGCTTTCAAACATGCAGTTGTGCAACCGCGTTTAAAAAAGAACAATCTCGATACCTCTTTAATTTTAGACCTATCTCTAAGCTCCCCTTTTTGTCAAAAATCCTAGAGAGAGTGGTTTTTAATCAACTTCAATCATTTTTAGATGATTTTAGTATTTATGAAAAATTCTAGTCTGGATTTAAGCCCCGTCACAGTACTGAAACTGCCCTTTTAAGAGTTTTTAATGATCTCCTTTTAGCTGTTTTGCTTGTTCTGCTTTTAGATTTGACTGCTGCCTTTGATATGGTTAACCACTCCATTCTCATATACCGACTCGAACAGTGTGTCGGCATTAGGGGCACAGCCCTCAAATGGTTTCAATCATATCTGGCAGATAGAAGTTTCTCTGTTCACCTTGGTGAATTTTCTTCATCTACTGCCCCTGTTTCTTGTGGGGTCCCCCAAGGGTCCATATTGGGCCCCATGCCTTTTTCACTGTACACGCTGCCATTGGGGTCCATTTTCAAAAAACACAACATCTCCTTTCATTGCTTTGCAGACGACATACAAATCTATTTACCTGTAAATTCTAATGACAAAGCTGCAACTCAGTCCTTGCTCAACTGCCTGAGAGATCTTAAAATATGGTTGAATCAGAACTTTCTCTGTCTGAATGAAAGTAAGACTGAGGTTGTTGTGTTCAGTCGACCAGGGGATTTAAGTGCTTGTATAGATGTTCTTGGTACTTTAGGAACATATAGTCGTCCATTTACCAAGAATCTAGGTGTGATCCTTGACAGTGCTTTTAAGTTTGAAAAACAGATTAGTTCTATAGTAAAAGCCAATTTCTTTCAGCTGAGACTGTTGGCCAAAGTCAAGCCCTACCTACCACGCAAAGTCTTTGAAAGAGTAATACATGCATTTATAAAGTTTCGTCTCGACTACTGTAACTCTTTGTATGTTGATTGATTTTAAGATTTTATTGCTTGTTTTTAAAATTTTAAATGGGTTGGCACCTTCTTATTTATCAGAACTTTTACATGTACACACTCCGGTCAAAGCACTGAGGTCATCCAATCAGATGCTCCTTGATGTCCCCAGATCCAGGTTAAAAACTAAAGGTGACCAAGCCTTCTCAGTAGCTGCTCCTAATCTTTGGAATACTTTACCTGTTCAAATAAGAAATGCCCAAACTCCTGACACTTTCAAATCCTTGCTAAAGACCTATCTTTATTCATTGGCCTTCAAACAGAGTTGAGTAGTGACATTTATTTTATTTTTACTTTTTCTACTGTTGTCATCTATATATTATATATATATAGTATAATATATTTGTTGTCTATTGTGGAAAGCACTTTGGTCAACTAGTGTTGTTTTTAAATGTGCTATATAAATAAACTTGAACTTGAACTTGAAATTATTAGTGACACATGTGCTTTAATGGCTCATATAAATTGGCCTATTAAAACATTGGCTTTGGAGAAGCTTTTAATCAAC